CGATAAATATCGTCTTTTTAGTCAGCCTCGAAAGTTATCGAATCTGAAGTGTTAAGTGCTGCAAGGGAGTGGGGTCACCACAGATGATATGCAAAGTGAGGATGCGTTTTTATCTTGATCTTGCAAGTAAAGCCGACAAGTACTGCCTTTTTAGTCGGACTAAAAAGTAGTTGGTCTATAAGAGTCGAGTGATGAAGTCGCTCGAGTCTTCTCTTACCGAATATGGCTAATTAGGCAAAGGTGGGACACATGTCGGTCTCTTATTGGGGATTAACACTTAGCCGTTTGCATGATATAACATTTATATATAATAAAGTGAGCATGTATTAATTTATCAAATGAAAGAATTACAAAAAGGGTTAAGATGATCTTTTTTCGGGCAACAGGGGAAACTTGGTTAGGGGACTTCTACATTCGAGATAGAGCTTAAGTTAGAGCATTCACACATTATCAGAAGGACTCAATCTTTTCAAGAAACATGAAGAGATTGAAGGACAGCTCATTAGGGCTGTCCAAATGGGCTTTGGGCCCAGACCCGGCCCGGTTTTTAATTTTATATGTATTATATATATTATATATATAAATTTTATATATAATATAGTATGATATTGTCATTAATGTATACTTATATATTTTTAAGTGTATATTGTCATTAATGTATACTTGTATATATTTACATATATATTTCTAATGTATACTATATATAATTAGAGTATAATATGGTCATTATTGTATAGTTATATATACTTACATATAATATATAGTTACATACTAATATGTAAGTATATACTAATATATACTTATATAAATATGATAAGATTAATCTTATTTTTTTTTATCAATTTTTAGCATAAAAAATAAAAAATACAAAAAAAATCCCGGCCGGCTTGGAGGCCGGTCCAGTTTTGCCCGGACTCGGATCCGGGCCCGGCCCAGACACCCTGGGTCCATGTCCAAGCTAGGTATTTTGTTCAACCTGTTTGGACAGCTCTATGGCCCGTACTCATCCTAATTTTAAGAAAGCCTGCAAAAGTATTAGAAGTGGAACCATAGAGCAATGAGTGATAAGACTCATTTGTCTATCTATACAGATTATAAAATAATCCGTTTATTTGTGTAAGAATACCTCTATTCCTAGATAGAAAATAAAAGCTCAAGGTTATATATACATTTTACATATTACAACTTCTTTACTGAATATGGTTAAGTAGTTTAACATTGTTGTTTAGGGAAAGTATACTGAACCCCCAAAAAGTTTTAGTTTTCGTGGTAAACCCCCAATTACTTTCAAAATGGCACCAACTCCTAATGACTTTTGCGTAAAACCTCTAATATCTTTTGGGTAAGTTACATATGCCCTCAATATGTCTCAAAGTGCATTTTATGTTGTTTTTTGCTTCTAATTTATGGGTGTTATCTGCAAAATGTGGAAACTTATATGGGGACAAAGTTACAGGAGGTTCAATGCTGCTTTAGAAGTTTTTTGGGGGTTTCCACCAACATGCTGAACGATCTTGAGTGTTTAGTATAATTTACCCTTTTTCTTTAATACCCCCTCGTCAAAAGATATCTTAAGAAAATATACATAGTTACTCTAATAAGGGTAATAAAAAGTTCGACAAATCTCTCCACAAGCAAACAGAAAAAAGAGTGGAAGTAGTATTTGTAGGACTATTCTCTCAAGAATTCGAGGAATGTGGCGAACAATCGTCATATCCTATTTAGGAAGTTTATTAAGTTGCATAGAATATACTTTGAGATGACGTGTTTCTGACAGTGTCTTTTAAGAATATGTCTAAAGATTTTAGAGTCACATTCATATAGTTGCAACTAAATTAGAGTTTTATCAAATATTGATATTGTAAGATGGTAAGCTAAAATCTTATTATAAGGTAGACTAATTGGCTCATTAAATTCATAATTGACATCATGCATCCTACTCAAAACATCTTTAAATGTATCTAGTTAAAATTTTACATAGTTATGTCCAAAACATTATACACACACGACTTTAAAATACACGCATGTGCCGATCCATATGTAATTTTAACTACTCATAGCCAATTAAATAAAGCATATCCATATTCGTAACAGTTAAAAATGATTCAAATTCCAGTAGCAACGTACATTGCATCTGCAAATGAAGAGAGATTGCAGAAGCTTAGAAGCTGATACATTCTCAACAAATTTAAGGTTCAAATTCCCGATGTCAGGTTCATTGGTCAAATAGTAACTCTTCACACAATTGAGGAGGCAATGCAGAATGCTTCAGCGAGAGCTCATTTAGTAACATCCGTACTAGTAAAATATCAATCACGGTTCAAATGAAAATAACATCGAAATCCTAAAGATTTTTTCTTAAGAGCCAGAATCTTGATTTAGTTTATTAGGTCGCATACTGAAACTTACAGAAAAATATAGCATATTACAGATGTATTGATAAGATCACAATGAAAGACAGATCAATAATATAAAGATCATGCTATATATGCACTGCTATAAATGAACCAAAACACGTATAATTACGAACGTTTTGTCCATCCAAGGTTAAGAGGAGAGGCTCGTAGCGACATGGGCTTGCTCAGTTAGAAAGCTTAACCAGGGATGTTCAGCCTCTGGGTCTTATGTTTGATTATGGGGAGCTTCTGGCTAATGTGGCTTGGATCACCATAAACAGCAGCATCTGTTGGAAAACCTTTCTGCATATTAGCAACACAAATCCAAAATAAATCACTCATGATCACCAATTTACAGAAAAAACACAAATTTATATGCCCACAAAAGAGTACAAAATGGCTCTTGATGTCTACAAGTATCTGATTTGCTTGATACCATACGACATCCTAGTGCCGCTTTTTACTCTAAATTAAATAAAGGGAAATATGTATGAGACCAAACAGTTTTTATTATTATTTTTTCTTAATTTTTTTAGGATAACCCAATCCAGAATCGAATCCAAGACAGTTTGAGTCATATCGGAACCTTCCCCGTCTGGGTCACCTGCAGTGGGTTAGCCAATAGTGAATTAAATGTCCTTTTTCTAAGAATCAAGATAATTTTAGATGGAAACATTTTGAAAACAGAGGCCATTCTGAATTAGTTTTTGGGTTAATTGCGAATAGACACCCACCACACACACACACACACACCCCCCCCCCAAAAAACCTAAAAACAAAAAAAAAACCATCATCACCCAAAAGACACCCCCATAGTCCTATAGTTGCAGATAGACCCCTGAATGAACGTTTTTTTACTCCTTTACCCTCAAAGAAAGAGAATTATTTTTCAACAAACTGATCTCCCAAGAGAAAAAGAGCCAAAACAGTACAGGGGGTTTATCCACAAAAATAGAACTATAAGGAGTCTGTTCACAATTAACCCCAAGTTTTTTTCCCCTTTCATTTTGGTAGTAGTAAATGTACGATAGAGGCAACAGCACCCATAATTTTGCAATATAACAGATATAAATAACATTTCAAAGCAGAAAATAGAAGAAAAGGAATAATCTAATACTCTAAGTATAGGTGAGCTCGACCATATGTGTCCGGTAAGTAGCTCATCTTGTTAGAAGGATGTGCATGAACTTACAGAGGATAAACTTTGGATGGTTGCTTCTCTCCAACAGCTCTCACGAAGAATGACAGGTTTAGCTTTGTCATTAAAAGCACAATAGACTCGAGTGTCCCTTAATCTCATCAGCACTCCATCTACTCTAAGCTGTAACAAAAACTTAATCAATAACTAGAAACTCCGAAAACACGAGAATGATGAGACAATACTGAGAAATAAAGAATTAAAAGGAAAAACAAGCAATCTAATAAGTACCAAAATGAGGAAATATACAGCACAAAATTATGGCAGGCATATAACCTAATTAGTTCTAACAAATTATCTTTTCCAAGCATTGCACCCAAGAACAGTAAGTTACTTAATCAGAGCAAATAAAAATAATGTAGGTATTCTAAATATCAAATTGTAGACATGAGTATAGGGGCATACACATAGCTAAACAAAGAAACTCACCCAGAAACGAAGTAGAAGAAACCAACAACTCGGCATCACTCTCTGCAATAAGATTAAGGCACAAAAACAACATTAGTGAGGCTTCTGCTGGAGGATCACTAACACTTCCATATTTGGACTTACCACTTTTGCTGTTAAGAGTGATACCCCATTATCAGCCAACTCGTCTTCATACAAAATCACCTAGGGGTAAAATATTGGTTAAACAAGTAATAGTCAACATTACCCAAAGAGAGAGAAAAAGTTTGCTCTTCATATTTTATTAAAGTGACCAACCTCATCATAAAACAATATTGGCTCCTTAGCTGAGAGTGCTGCTAAATCAATTCGTTCATCACAGTCCTCCCACTGGAGATCGAAACATGAATTTTCAGAAGTTATCTGCATTCTAGGAGCAGTATTAAAAGATAATAAAGAAACAACTCGTGCAGGTAACATATCATGTTTAATTACTCAAGCAAATGTTATACAAAAAGTACTTCAGGCTTTGTTATTATGCACATTTGTTAAATTTCACATGTCACGTGCAGACTCCTCGTGATCATTCTCTGAGCCCTATGACTGTTACCCTTTTTTTTGCTCCAACATCATTTCACTTTATTTTGACGAGTTTTATAGAAAGTTTAAAATGCTAACTTTTATGATGATATCAACAGACAAATCTGAAGATAATTAACAATGCTAGGTGGTTGAGATGAGCCCACAAAAACACACTTGACTGCATTACATGAAGGATTTCCATAAATGTAACTAAAAAAGTCGGACAAACACTTTTCTATAATATCTGAGCAAGCCAATGTGTATTATCCAGCAGAATTTCACATATTATTATACCCTTCTAATATGGTAGTATGGATAACCACTTCCAACCCAAAAGTTATAGTACATATTTAAAGGGGGGGAAAAGAAGATAAGAATCAAACCTTTCCTTGATTTGGTTCAATTGCCTCACTTCCACAGTAAGGTGTCGTGAACGTATAGTCATAGTCGAGTATCACCTGCTGAAACGGTTTGCTGAAAGGGGAAAAAATAATAATTCTAAGATGATATACCATTTCCATTGAGATAATAATACGGATACTCTTACAGAACTTTCCTTTTCCAAAGACATTCTGATATTGATTAATAAAATAAAAGTACTTCGTAAATAGGCGAAATATGACCTTTTTTATGACATATTTAGACTGCCTTGATTCTAAGAATGGCATCTAGAGAACAATAGGCATAAATAATTATAACAATTCTATATACTATAATGAGACATTGGCTAAGTAACAAAATAGCAAACCACCTAGTTAAAAGGTGCCAAAAACATTGGCTACATAACAAAATGACAAAAAAAAAACCTGCTTCAAAGGTATGTACTTCAGTTTTCATAGTAATTAAGTCAAAAGTCAAAGCATGTAATGAGAGAAAATTCCTACATTTCTGAATGAAAAGAGAGAAGGGAGAGAATTTCCTCTTGTCCTTCCTCCTCTATCCTTCCCTCTCTCCCAAAATAACTTCTGGCCTGGTGTGTTGAATTTCTATACAGTAATTTTCCAATGTCCATCTTGATGTTTTTTTCTTTCATGTCCTCTTTTCTTTCAATAAAAAAACATTTTTCTTATTTTATTGGGTTTTCAAGCTGAATTCTTACAGTTACTCTTAATATGTCAATTTTAAATCACCTCTACCAAACTTAAATTTTTGCTAGATGTGAAATAATTCAAGAAGTTAGAAGATTGAAACATTTGTTTTGCTTCACCGAAGAGATATAAGTATC